TATTATTGCCCTGGACTGTTAAGTAGGTCCACGCCATTCGCGTTCATGGGCTTATCTACCTCTCATTATTGTTTATTTGCAGGTCTGAATCAGACTCATCATCCAGTAAAAGAAAGGAGGAGGCCGACAAATCTAATGACTTCAAGAAACCATCCTCGAAGCGCCACTATGAAGACAAATCAGACAGAGGCTACGACTTCAACCGCGCTTCTAAGCGCCCTCACATCGACTCGGATCCCAACTCCATCCCCTCTTCCTCTTCGTCAGAACTCACCAGGCATTCAGCACAATGAATTGTCATTCCAACCCCCATCTATTCCTGAAATACTTTCCAATTTCTCTTCCACTCCTTCAGTTGAGCAACTTCGCCTTGCTACCTTTGCCCTTCAGGAACCTAACTCTTGGCTTCGCAACCCGAATCAATTTTTCGTCGCTTCTCCCTCCCACTGCTTTAGTAACTGGTTCATGTTCCTCTCCTCTTCTTCGAGGAGATATTCTCACTCTGTCCTCCAGTGGATTTGGCATGGCGTCAGACTTAATTTTGTTGGTACCAAGCATACCCCGGTTAAAAAGATTATTGAAGTCAGACACATGGTAAAAAAAGTTTATTCATCCTCTGCTTTCAAAAAAATTCTCTTGTGTGAAAAACCTCCTCCAACTTCAATTCCTAATCATTCACTTCTTCCTCATCACAATTCTTTCATCACCTCTTCAATATCTTAACTCCTTGCCTACGGTGTCATCGAGCACTCTATGAATCCTCTGGTTGTTAATCCGGTTTTTGCCATTGAAAGTTCTTCCAAAACCAGATTCATTCTGGATGTTCGATTTGTTAATCTTTTTTTTTCCTTTCTGGAATTTCACTATGAATCTATCAATGATTTAGTAGCACCTCTGGGTGGTTCACAAACCCAAAATTTTCTAACTTGTTTTGACATAAAAATGAATATTATCATATACCAATCCACCCAGAGCACAAACCTTACCTCGCCTTTTCCTGGGACGGGTCAACTTACCAATTTACTACTCTTTGCTTTGGCATTTCTGCCGCATGTTGGATTTTTACAACAGTAATGCTGAAAGCTATGGCAGAACTTCGACTCCGTCATATTTTTATAATCTCTTATATAGACGATTCTGCCTTAGCAAACCAGAACTTTGCCCTCCTCCTATGACATTCTTTCAACTATGTAGCACTTCTCCACAACCTCGGATTCTTTTTAAGCCTTAATAAATGTTCCTTTTTTCCTTCACAATCCATTAAATTCCTAGGTTTTAAGATTGATTCTCATTTCAAAAGAATCAGAGTTCCAGAAGATAAGGTAGAAATTTTTTTTGGCTCTCATCACTTCAACCTCCCATTCCACCCCCTCAAGCATAACCCTAGCTAAACTCGCTGGGAAACTCGCTTCCCTCGTTCAAACTTTCCTCCCAACTCTTCTTTTCACTTCATCCATCTACTCAGCCATCTCACCGACAAATTGGGATTCACCCGTCCCCACCTCTGACTCCTTAACTCAAGACCTCATTTGGTGGACCGAGCACCTACCCAACCTTCCTGACCGACTTTGGGTTAAACGTTCAATTACATCTATTATCTCTACAGATGCATCAGCCAACCAAATTGGTGCCATCATTACTCCTTCTTCAGGACCCCCTCTCCTTTTTAATCAATGTCTCCCAAGTTTTCTCCTTCCGGCTTCCTCCACACATAGAGAACTCTTTGCAGTACTTCAAACTCTCTTACTTCTTCAAAACTCACATCCTCATCTTATTTTTTCATCCGCCATCAGACTTCTTTCATATAGTCAATCTGCAATAGCCCTTCTAGATTCCCAGAAATCTAAATCAGATCGCGGATGACTTATCCAAAAACAAGATAATACAGATTGGGGTATCTCCTCTTACTTAAAAAACAAAATCTTCAACTCAATAGGTATTCCTGCAATTGATCTCTTCGCATCAGACTATCATAACGCCTGCTCTGTCTTCATTTCCAGAACTTGGTCCTCATCCGCTTCTTTCGTCGATGCGCTATCCCTTGATTGTAATTCTCTCCCTGCCTCACCTTACAGATGGTTTTTCCCTCCAACTACTCTCATTCACGAAGTCCTGTCCCTTGTCTCAGCCGCCCCTGCCAACCTGTTTATCTTCCCTGATTCGCGTAAGGCAAACTGGCTGCCCATAATCCTTTCTCTTAATATTTTTCGTACTTTGATCATTCCTAAATCTATCTACTCTTGCATTCCCAGCCCGAGAATTCATCACTCCTGCCCAAATCCAACCACCATTGGCTTCGCTTGCATCTTATTCTCCACCTAATCCTCTGCCGCATTCTTCTCATTTCCCTCAAACACCTCCCCGCTGCGTTTCCACCCCCTTTTCATTTCATAACCATACCGCATAAATGTACCAACACTACTCCATGTTCCCTGCCTCATCATCTCCCCTAAACTCCATCCCTCCTCTATTCCAGCTTGCAAACCACCAATTTGAAAGTTATGTCCATTCTCTCCTTCATAAACTCCGGCCTCTCCAAACCACTTCTCTATTCGTTTATTAAAAGCACCACCGCCCAATGCATTACACCCTCGATCAGCTCGGAACAAGTATCCAGTTCGCAAATCAACCCCCAAACTCTCATACACAACGATCAATTCCGGCAGTATTCCTAAGAAGGTTTTTTCACTCTCCATAACTTTCTTTAATCGTATAAAAAATCGGCCCCCATGACGATCGGTCTTAGTATAACCTGGTCTTACTAAACAATTTTCTATATCAATTTCCTTGTACTGCAATCGCAAACCTTCCCCGCATCATTGCCAACTTTCCCACAAATATAGAAACATAGCTGCATCCCGATAAGCCTCAGCCTCTCGTATTCTCTTCAATATCTTTATCTTGCATCTTATATACTCAATTACAATCTTTAGTTTCTCACAACCTAACGGTCGCGCAAACTCCTTGATAACCCCTCTCGCCAACCCATACTCCCTGTACGCCTTTCGAAATGCTTTCACACGACTCCCTTGACAAGGATTATCCCCTTCCTCCCTTCCAAGCAATCTAAATGCCCCATTTAAGCAATTTACCACCGCATCCACAATTGACGTTGATACCATCTGTTCTCCATCACTATCAGTAGTTCGGCACCTACTCTCAATCTTAACCAACCATTGACTGTTTAAGAAGGAAAGAACATCTAAGTCATTACATGTCATACAACTCCTACCCACTTCATTTCGTTCCAACCACTCATTCAATCCAAGAAGCAACTTCTTTATTCCACTTCGCCAACGCTTTCCGAGCCCAAACTCTTCTATTAGCTTGCTGCTCCATTATAGTCCTGCTTGATAACTCCCAGCTATTTTCGACGTCGCTCGCTTCTGCCTCCAGCTTCCATCGCTCATTCGCTCGTCCCACCACTCCCTGCAAGATGACACGTCACTTGTGGGATGATGGAGGGATTTGGGGAGGCATTGGAGGTGTGTGGGCCTGCGGCCCAAACTCTATGACTCACTTCTAAGCAATCGGCCATCATCAAGGACTTTTGTTTTTTCCATTTTATCTCGATGAGTCCCAGGCAGCAACTGTCCTACTCGAGCCCTTGTAGTTGGTACCTACTCGACGGGGCCAGATGCAACCATCACTTTAGCATTGTCAAGATACTATCAATTCAGTTATGTTTTCGCAACTGTCTCCTGAGGTCTTTTCATCGACGATCTTCAGCATCAACGGCGGACACTGTTTCTAAGGACCAATTTCTTTAATTCATAACTGTCTCTTGGTGGCCTTCTCGTCAACGATCTTCAGTTCCAACGGAGGGTGCTGTCTTTCTAAAGAATTCACTGTTTTTTTCTAGGATTAATTCCTTATTTTCAAGATCTACGGATGCTAGCGAGTAAGACAAGATCCACGAAGGGACTTAGTGGAACTCACCCTGCGGGAAGAAGCCCTTCGGAGGACCGACCGCCACTTGATCCAGGAACTGCGAGTGTATAAGTAACCGGCACAGGACCGGTCGCTGCAAGCTGACTTGACTTGCGGCTTCGGGATTTCGTCCGCCGGCAGCCGCGCCCATCGCATAGGCAAACCTGCGGTCACTGCACAGCCACCAAGTCTGCTCAGAGGCCGAGTTGTTTTTCTCGCCAAGATCTTGGCGAAGCGGTCCCGCTCACCCTCGATTTTCCCGCGGTGTGTGGGCCTGCGGCCCCAACTCTATGACTCACTTCTGAGCAATCGGCCATTATAAAGGACTTCTGTTTTTTCCATTTTATCTCGACGAGTCCCAGGCAACGTCAAAGAAAAAATCTACAAAACGACAAAATCTATTAGGTTATTCTCCTGTATTTCGGTACCCTTAGATTCTCAATACATCAACGGCAGAGCTCCGTCCCACCATGCCACACGTGATAGAAAGCTCAGCGTTGAGAAAACTCAACTTCGGCGGTGGGACTTCACCCCAGGCCACAAACCGCGGCCTGTGGGGCCCCGTGGAAAACTTCCACGGAAAACACACAACCTTTTCCTGGCCATGTGGGGTCCCGGAAACAATTCCGTGGCAAAACTTTTCCTTGCCGCATTCCTGTGGGGTCTGGGCCTTTGTCAGACACCGGTATGCAGCGCTAGAGGCCCAGGGGCATTCTGCCAGTGTGCCTGTGTGCAGTGCTAGAGGCCTAGGATGCAACAGTGGCCTGCTGCGAAGTTGCAGCCCTCAGAAGGGCTGCAATGAATATCGAAAGAATGAGCTGTGCCGTGGCACGCATCGCAAATAATAGGGGCAAGGGTGAAAAGTGTTTCCAAGTCTAATAAAACATAACGGTCACTCTTTCAAATGGCCAGCAGCGTGCGCTCGATGCTGAGGCATGGGGGCGGCAAGTACGTGAAACAAGGGGCCTTTTGTTCCCCTTTTTTCGATTTTCGATTTTTTTGCCTGATCGTTACGAGGCAGAGGGGGTACGTGGCCGGAAGGCACAAGCGCTTTCTCGCCGTAGAAGGCTAGCCGGGTGCAACGAATGTCTCTGTCGCGGAAAAGAAGAGAAGGAAAACAAGGAAACCTAGTAGCAGAACTGTTAGGGTAACACCACCTGTCCAATGAGGACGGGTGCCACGTGTCCAAGGACAGGTGTACAGGTGCCACGTGTCTACAGCAAAGGTGGACGAGTGTCACGTGCAAGCAAAGGTGGAGGGGTGCCACGTGTCCAAGGAGTGCGGTGCACGGGTGCCTCGTGTCCGAGGAGAGGTAAACGGGTGCCACCTGTCGAACGGAAGAGGAAGGACTACAAGGTGCAATCAGTGTCCGAGAGAGGAACAAATGACGAGGAGGAGGAGGGAGGGCGGGAGGGGAAGGAGGAGAAGAGTAGAACCGACGAAGGTCGAGTTAGGGGACGTTTAGCAGAGGAGAGGAGAAGTAGAGAAGGTAGACGAAGATCTGAGTTAGGG